TAATTATACATTTATTCTATTATATACTTTTTACTAACTATACGTTTATACTAAATTACTAATTAAAAATTTTACTAATTATAAACTTTTTCCCCATAGGTACCCGTTGGGCGAAGTGGGGCAGGACGGGTGATGGGGTAGGACGAGGGCGGGGGATAAAGCTGTTAAACGAACCGAGCTGTTCGTTAGCTTGGTTCGTTTCGGCTCGTTTGTGTTCGTTAAAGGCTCGTTCGAAAGCCTTAAACGAACGAACACGAACGAATTTTTGTGTTCGTTTAATAATCGAGCGAACACGAACATGTTCGCGAATTTTAACGAGCGTCGCGAACAAGGACATAATTGTCATTTGATAAATTTTAGGGTTACTCATAAGAAATTCTAAAACTTTCCCCTTCCCTTTCCAACCTTACTTTGTTTTCCTTCCCCATTGGCTGCTGCTGAAAATTTGTACTTGTCTTATGGCTGAATTTTTATATTTGAAGGACAAATTACTTTGTTTTATTTGTTGTTTTTATGTTAATGTTGGTTATGCAGTTATTGAATAATGGAATTTAGTCATTTAGTATTTTAATTATTTTTTAGGATGATTAATGATTTGTGTGGCATATTTAAGGCCTAGAATAATCTGGATTCGAACTTTTCGAGCGTGTTTGCGAACGGCTCGTTTATGTTAAACAAGCCGAACACGAACACAAACACGAACACGAACTTTACTTAACGAGCCGAACACGAACACAGATTTAGAGTTCGAAAGTTAACAAACGAACACGAACGGAGTTCAAATCGCTTAACGAACAGAGCTCAAACATGAGATACTCGGTTCGTTTCGGTTCGTTTACAGCTCTAGCGGGGATATGCTTAGGCAACTGGGCGGGGGGCGGGGTGGGGGAGAGGTCCCCGCCCTAACCCTACCCCGTTGCCATCCCTAATTGGAGAGCATGCAGACTACAACTGCAAGGAATAGGAATGGAGTTGGGACTTGGGAGAGATTTTGGGATTTTTGTCTTGTCTGGTTATTATTCCTTTGGTATTTTGAGGGTACCCTCATCCACTATGGCAATTAATAGCCCTTATTAAGGAAGCTTGTAAGTAAAAAAAAAGGAAATTTAGTAGTTTGGTTAAAAATTATTGGATGGGAGCTGGCCTAGATTTTGACGATTTGATTTCTTGTAATTACTCCATTATAATTATTTTTTTCCTTTTATAGGGGAAAGTAATTAATCATCTTGTATATATCTATATGTGTGTGCATATATATAGTATGCTTTTCTTTTTGTTTTGACAAGCTTAGTTGAGAGAATAAATATAAGTTGATTGATACTTTAATTCTAGTATTTTACCAACTGTATTTCTCATCAAATTAAAATTTGTAGTGATCTCTTCCTCTACTACAAATTTTTTTTATCTTCTGTATTAGTTTCAAGTTAGTTTATTTATCATTAATAGTAGTAAGGCATTTTATTAATTAAAGTTGCAATCTATTCTAATACTTGATAAATGTACAACTGGTTAAAAAATTCAAAGAATTATAATAAACACTTGAATCAAAGGAAATCATATTCATACTTTTCGAAGAATTTATGATTGACAGATGATTCATGTTTTAAGTGTCATATTTTTAACCATTACGAAAAGAAGGTTGAAATGAGGGAGAGAGTGAGATTTTTGGTAAAATCTATGTATTGGATGATTGTTTTATGATTTAATCATCTTTTACAGTATCTTAGTATTCATTTTTATGAATATTCTGCATTAAACATAGAACAATTTATGAAAACTTTTTTAACAAAATAATATAATGCATCCTATTAAATATTTTTCATATGTGTTTTGTCAAATTTCAATACCTTATTATTGTGCTTTCTTATTTTGTGTTTTGTTAAACCATTCTAGGGTAAAAGTAAAAATCAAAGTTGCCTACTAGATTAGTAACTAAAATTTATTATGGGCTTCTTTAGTAAATAATATTACTTATTTTACAAGTCAAAATTGTTTAAATTTTGCATGTCAAAGGACTAATAATCAAGATATACATAAGGAGCCATGTATTGGACTAGCTTATAGTTGCAATCTCCTAAATTATACGTACGTACGTACATATATATATATATATTAAAAACATTACCTTTAGTTCCTAAAGTCCATTTATAGTTACTTTTTCACATAAACAAGTCATAATGACTCATTCTAAGTAATTCAATGGTAGAATTAAGTCCACAGATCTTCCTCAAGAATATAAAGAATCTAGCCCTTTATAAAGTAGAGTAAATGAATCATGTAAACAAAAATTTTCTTGTTTGACTGAAAATGTTTAAATTTTGCATGTCAAAGGGCTAATAATCAAGATATACCTAAGGAGCCATGTATTGCACTAGCTTATAGTTAAAATCTCCTATATTATATCATTATACTATATAAGAATGAGTTGTGATAAAAAAGGGGTTTTGAATTTCAATCGCATGAATAGGGGCATTTTCGAAATATGGAATGATGTGAAATTTGTTTTTAGCTTTCGATACAAGTGATGATGACATGTATTTTGGTAAGTTTACAGAAATCTCCTCATGTCTATACAATTAAAGCATTTATTTATGGAGACATTTGGGTATTTTTGGAATGTGGGATTATTTTATAATCGTTGTTGCATCAGGTACAAGTCATACAAGCTTATGTATTGGTGTAATTACTTAAATGGTGTTATAGACATGTTTACTTGAAGTGTGGTATTATTCTGCAATTGAAACGAAAACACATTGTTGTAATCTTACCGCTTGAGGATATTCAATTGCCTAAAACATATTCAATTGTCTTTGCCATTTACATCTCAATTAAACTAAATAAAATGTGGATAGTTAATGAATTAATGCCTCAGCATCGGTTATGGTTGTTCAAATGCCTTCTCCTTCATATTTTTCGATTTTTTTCCTTTCGGCTTCTAGGATTGGGCTATTTTTGCTACCTTTATCCTCTGCATTCCAAAATGGTCTTTAGGGTAAGCTATTTTTGGTGGCTCGGTTTGATGTGAGTTTTGTTCCTTAATTTTATTATTTATGTGGTTGGTGGTGTGTAGTGTTGGGTGACTACTTCCATTGCAAAATTTGAAAATATGATTTTTCCACAAATTTGGTTAGTCTGTATAATTTAAATGGTGTGGTTATGATGTCATAGGGTTGGAGCAACTGCAAGAAAAAGTTTTTCGAGGGGTATCTGGACTAAGGTAAGCCAAAAAAGTACCTTAATTAGTTCAACCATGGTGTGTTTTCTACTGCATGTTGTAAGTGATTCATATATGGAATTCATTTTGATAGTAATTTGATAGTGAAGCATTGTGAATTGATAAGTTATATGGTATACTGCTGATTTGAGTTTGAATTGTTTAGTCACTGATGAATTAATAGAATAAACACCTTCTAAACCATTCATATTGGTGGTGTTTCACATATACCTTCTAATTAAGTAGAGGTAATACAAATGGTTTAATTTCCTTAGGCAGTGATGAATTTGTAGAAACTCCTTCAAGCAAACAATTTCAATGAGTGCTTTCTTATATTATAGAACAATGAATGCCTTCTTATACAGATAAAAAAACTAAAATTGTTGCGAAAAACTAAAAATATGAACAAAAAAGATGCGAAACAAAACCTCACACTATACAAGAATGAGTGTGGCTTTGAATTTTAACCCCAAGAACAAACATATAGCTAATGAAATTAATTGTAATCCATGAAATGTAAATTGAATAATAATCTGACAAAAGGGAAACTTAAATGACTTTTTTTTTTATAGATGCTATAGTCCTTATTGATAAACAGTTGATTAACATTTTAACTCCAAGAATAGACATATAACTAATGAAATTACCTGTAATTTGTGAAATGTAAGTTGAATAATAATCTAAAGAAAGAGAGACTTAAATAACCTTTGCAGACCTTTGCAGACAATCTATTATTGAAACATATGCTACGAAATATTATCGTTTAGTATGATATTTCACTCTTATCTTTATTTACTTGCACTTCTACTAGCTTAAATTCTGTCGAAGCTCCACAAAATAGAACACAACCACCAACAAACAACTACCTTAAAATCATTTTTAACTACAGGCACCAAACACCTGCATGACGCGTGTGCACTCCCTCCCCAGTATATTAAAAACATTACCTTTAGTTACGAAAGTCCATTTATAGTTACTTTTTCACATAAACAGGTCATAATGAGTCATTCTAAGTAGTTCAACGATAAGACTTAAATCCATAGATCCTTCCTCAATAATATACAGCCCCCTTTATAAAGTAGAGTAAATGAATAATGTAAATAAAAATTTCCTTGTTTAACTAAAATTGTTTAAATTTTCATGTCAAAGGACTAATAATCAATATATATATATATATATATATATATATATATATATATTTTACTCTCTCACCGTTTCCTACATCTTTTCCATCCCCAAACTATTAGGCACAATATTCAAACTCTGAACTTGACAGCGAGAAAAACTTTAAGAGTTCTTCCTTAGTCACTGGATCGATCTCAATACTCTCTAAATGATATATCATTATTTAGGTAAAGTATTTTTTACTATGCTTTTTCTATTTGACAAACACGTTTGACTCTACTTTGACGACTATACTTTGATATAATTATAATTTATAACGATACATTTATCAGTATAATGTTAGTATAATATTAATGTTAACTAATACATCCCATGTTACGTGAAGGCTTGATCAGTCCCACTTGGAAGCAATTCAACAGAAACGATTAACCCTGTGGCATCTGTCATCTAACAAAAGAAAAAAATAAAAAAAAAGAAGAAGAAGAAGAAGAAGAAGAAAGGAGTATCTTGTTAATTATGTGGCTTAAAAAGGAATGACATGTACCAGTTGAAGGACTTATTGGGCAATATTTCATTTTCAAACGACCTCCCCTCCCGCAAAAGGTCAAAGCCGTCAAACCATTTCCTTCCTTCCTGCATAACGCCTAAACCAGAATTTTACTGTAGCGGATATTTAAATAAAGAAAATAAAAATCGTAAAAAATGGGGGAAATTTTGTCTGTAAATCACGAGACCCAGCTCATCTCTTTCTCTCTCTGTCTATCAACATTTGTCTCTGAAATGATCGGAACAAAAAAATAATTTCAAATTCTAATCCCCTCGATCAGATCCAATACCCTGAAAAACCTGCATTTCTGCGATCTGATTGAAAACTTTAAATCCGTAAGCATTTTCTGAAATTTTTTTTCTTTGCCTCTTTTCATTTTTTTTTGTATATATAGATAGGAAAATTTAGATTTTTGAGGTTTTAAATATCGGCATTGTCGAATTTTGGAGGAATTATCAGTTAAAAGAGGAAATCTGTCATCGTTTTTGAGTTAAGAGATGGCTTCGATGTCTTCCGTCAGCGAGGAGCTTACAGAGATCGAGGGACAAGTTTCTGATATTTTCCGCGCTCTATCGTAAGCATAATTTCCTTCTTTTTGAATTTTCTTTTACGAAAATACCTGCGGCTTTTGCATTTGGAAGTTTATGGAAACCTGAGAATTATCAAGTCAATTACGCGCACATTTCTGCCTCAATGCATACATTCTTGTACTTGCATCTACTTTTTCGCCTAATCTACAAATTTGTCAATTTTGCTTGACTGGTAGTCTAATTGAGCTGGTTAGGGAATGTTATTTCGTAGGAACAGGAAAGTTATGGGATTTTTTGAGAATTTTGTTAAGGAGGTTTTGATTGCCTGCAACTTTTAGTTTTCAGCTTTGTTTCGCAATTTCCAGATGGATTTAGGAAAAATGATGTTTGTATTGCAGAAATGGGTTTCAGAAATTGGAGAAGATTAAGGATACGAGTAGGCAAAGTAGACAGTTGGAGGAGCTCACCCAGAAGATGCGCGATTGCAAAAGGTAAATATTAGGTGCTTTAGTGTAAATTAGTGGTAATAGGTGTATAGTTTGTGTTTATATTGCTGCATGTACAGTCCAAACTAATTCTGATCGTGCTATTTATACTCTAGCTTAGTATATTATGAAGAAAGAAGAGTAAAGAATCTGGTTAATAGCAGCTTGCTTATGTGCTGGAAGAACAAGAAGAAACCTAAAGACTCGGAATAATTGTGCTTTGATCTCTTAAACAGAGAATGGTGGAGAATAGTCTTTTCATTTTTAGAGGCGAATGAGAACATCTATCCTTCTGTTGGTAGTTTCTGGGGCTGGTCAATGGTGGTTATGGATTACAGTGCCCCCCCCCCCTTTTTCACCCAAAAAAAACCACGTCTGGTTCTTTAATTATTTTTCTACATTCGAATGCGGCATCCAGCTGACCCAGTTGTTTTTAAAAATCCTGCTTCACCATTGTACGCTAAGCCTGCTAGATTAGGTGGTCTTCACTTAATAGTTATTGATGTAAAATCATTCCATGTCTGGGTTGCTACTTTTTGCTTTAAGATCCTGCGACTGTACTCAGGTATGTTGTACTTTCTTAAACTTTATGATCTCTTAGCATGGTCCTCTTAAGTTGTTTCTGGCCTTATGAGCAATGGAAGATTAGCTGGAGATTGTTTTTCAATTTGAAGAAAAACCGTTTCTCTTTCGGTTAAAATTACCCTTTTCAATGAATACTCCAGTAGAAGTATAGTGGTCTTCAGGGCTGGGAAATGGCAAGTATAGAACTTCTTTTCTTTGTTTGTTTATTATTTTTATTTTTTCTTGATCTAATGACATCTATCTCATAATTGCTCTTGATTACTATTTTTTCTCCCTATTTATAGGCTTATTAAAGAGTTTGATAGAGAATTGAAGGATCTGGATTCAAAATTGATTCAGAGACCAGCAAGATTTTGAATGAAAAGAAGCAATCAATGGTGAGATTTTGTTCTTAGCTTTTCTATTCACAAAAACTGGTGCTGTGTAACTGTGCATCTGTTTCTTTTTTTGGACCATCCCTCTACCTTCCAATGCCTGCAGTCAACTGAACTAAAAGAGCATTCATAAAAGTTTGCAAGTGTACAAATGCTTTGACATATGAAAAGGTTTCTACATGGATTTCACCAATCCGCACCTGTTAGCACCATTTCCACTCCAATCTAATGAAGAATTGTTCTATAAATCATATGTCAAACTATTCAAGTCTTTCTTAGAAAATTGCAAGGATATTGACTTGTCAAAATATACTTCACTGCAAGGAAAACTATCATCTAAACCAGAATTCCATGCACTGCTGAGCTTTCTGTTGAACATCTTTGGATGAATTTGTCAATTTAAGAGGAAATGTAGAAACTAACTTAAAATTGCACATAAAAATCCTGATCTTTTTGAAATTTTTATGACATTAGCATTACTAGCAGTAGTATTAGTGAAAGCTTAAATTAGTACTGAACAGTTAGAATCTTAATAAAATTGACAATGTTTATTTCAAGACCAAAACCTATTGATACATTGCAATTATTTTAGTTTAATATCAAAATATTCTGTTTAACCGATTAACCATTGGTTCTATCAGTTGACTCTGTTTTTAACCAATGAATCACTGATGTAGTAACTCCATTTAGCATGTGGACTACTCTAGGCTAGTAACCATGTTTTCTTTCTTTTTGTGCAGATAAAAGAATTAAACTCATATGTTGCGCTGAAAAAGCAGTAAGTTCCTTGTGCGGTTAGCATTCCAATTTTTGAAGCATCTTTCCAGTCTATCTTTAGATTTTGGATATTTGTGAAATTTATTCAATTTCATTCTTTTTCCTCTTATTTTCTACTTTTAGTTCCTTAAGATATTAATATGTATTATCTTTTGGTGAATAGAAAATTTTGTGGATTCTTATCCCCTTGGGATTTATAGCATCTATGTACTTGTTGATTAAGTTCTTTGGTTCATTTTTATCATTCATGACAAAACTTCTTTGCAACAAATGACTGAGTGGTTGTATCACAAACTTGAGTGAAATAATGAAGAAGATGAAAAGTTATTTATATTGGATATGCAATTCAGACTGGTCCTGGATGGCTGTGGCTGCCGTTTTAGGACCATTCATTTGATTCTTCTGAACAGTAAGTTTCTGGCTTTCAGTGTTGGGTAGTGTGGTTTTAACCAGTTTATGTTTCCCATTGAAGGAACTGATGACAAAAGACTAACTTCTTGGGGAATATATTAATGTATTTTTGTAATTCTTTTTAGTTTGTATCAAATTAAACCGCAAATCTAGGACAACACTTAGATTTGTCATTTTCTTGCCTAAAGAATTTTTGGCAATCTGTGGATTTTTTACCCTCTTTCATCTCCAAGTAGTATAAATTTTGGTTATTAGTATTTTTGGAAGATTACCCATTTTGCTATATTGTTTGAACTGTAGTTCAATCTTTGTGTCATCTGTCAGATTATCTTCATATCCTCTTTGTATGTATTCCATTCTTTGCTCATTTAAGTTCTACTTTCATGTTAGCAGTATGAATTTGCAATTAATTGTTGCTTCCCTTTCCATAAAGAAGCATGTTTTGAGAATCACCAATACAAATTTTCTCTATACAAGAAAATTAAAAGTACCTACCTAGAGGACCGAAAGAACATTTATCAACTTTTAATGCAAGTCATTTAAAACACAAAATTGTTCAAAACAAACTGCATAGCATAGTCTCTATTAAATAAGAGAGAAAAAGGAGTTTAATACATCTAATAAGAGAATCGAGAATCTTTCCAAGATCACTTGAAACAAATTAGTTATGCATTTAATCCTCTATAGATTTTTGGAATCAAAGTCCACCAAAACATAGCAAAAGTTTCCAAAAGAAACAAAAAAAAAAAAGACTACTCAGGAGAACATGCGACTAATCTGACAAATGATGGAGATATAAATGCAAAATAGGAAAGAATTTTGAACAATCTCTTGATTCAAAAATATATTTTCAACCCAATACTACTTTAAACCACAAATGTAAGGTGATCAAGTTGAAAGCAAGTTTCTGCACATATGATTAGTTTTATGATAAAAAAATTTGCCTTCCACTTTTTTAATGACAATAATCCACAACTGTCCATGTCAAAATGTGGTCCAATATCTCCATAGATTAGCCTTTAGACCACGGAATTAATTGGACTAAAACTCCTAAGACTTGAACTTTCCAAGAAACTCGAAAAAGCCTTCTCTGAAGCAAGCAAAAAAGGCAAACTAATAAGTGTCATAGAGCAAATTTTCTCTTGTCATCATCTTTGGCTTTGATTACAATATGTTACATGGTATTGCTAACCATCTATCCACCAGGTTGCCTTTGTGTCCATTCCTTATTGGCTCAAAGGCTTTTCGATTCATAAACATTATCTTTATCATATTTTTTTTAAATGTTTCATAAAATTCAACATTCTTCAATCTTCCACATTTGACTATCTCATTTTCACAAAATTTTTACCTTGTCTTGATAGTATTATTCATGGTGAATGATTGTATTTTTTATGTGCATGTTTTCTCTGAAGGGTTCTTTTTTCTTTCTTCCTCTTTTTTGGTTGCTTATTGTACTTTACTTTATTCACTTCCATCTACATCAAAGTTCCCTGATTATTTCTCTTCCTCTAGGTCTCCATCCAAATCGAGAGCGCACAAAATGCATACTCATCTAACCAAATTTTTTAGCTCACAAGATATTGAATTCCACACACATATTTTTCACACAGTAACAGCACTTTAAAGAACAAGGATATTATTTAGAATAGAAAACTTTAATGTTGCCTTAAATTAAAGGAGAATTGTCTAGTTTAAGTGATCTATTTCATACAGTTACAATTAATACCTATAAATAATTATGTAGTTCAAATTCTACACTAGTTCCAAATCCAAATAGCAAGCATAAAAAACTACAGACTCCCTTTTCCTCGTAGAAGAGACAATGGTCATTTGAACCAAGGATAGAACTGTAGAAAATTCCATCAAAAAGAACAACCATGCAAAACCTAAGTTGTAATTGCATTGTACATTGCAACTTTAACATTTAATTCTATCAACGATGAGTCATGTGCACAAAACGTAGAAATAATAGCAATTCTTTGCCCTAATTCTTACCCAATAAACCTCGTACTAACTCTAGTTTATGCCAGAAAATTTAATTGTTAACCACGAAACCAAACTTGTCAATTCACAAAGCATTAAATTCCACACACATATACATACAGAGTAATAGTACTTAAAAGAACAAAGATACTATTTTTGTGGGGTGGAGAGAGGGAAGGCCATAAATGAAAGAAGATTGTCTATTTTTAATCATCTCTTTTCATACAATTATACTCATATAAATTGGTCAATTCAATCATCTACTAGCTCAACAATTTTAGACCAGATTTCTCAATAAATAAAAATTAAATATAAAACCTCAAATTCTATGATTGTGAGTTGACGCACCTTACATGAGCAAGTGCAAGACAAGTTTTTCCCGTCCAACAAGTTCTAAGTCTCAACGATCTGAAAATGAAGGGGCTAAATAAACACACCCAAAAAACCACTGGCAAATAATAGAGATAAACGTGCAGAAAAAGACAAAACGTAGAAAAAAAAAATCTTGGTCCAAAAAAGCCCATATATAGAAAAGTTACACAAAAAAGGATACGTGATATGATTAAGTGTCGTTACTTACGAGGCACCTACATGATGTGTTTAGATATCGTTAATCACGAGGCATCTAGAACATATATAAACAAGTACCAAAAGTGTGATGAAGTTGAAAATAAGTTCATGCAGATATGATCCAACTCTAAGATAGTTGCCCTTAACAAGAAAGATGAATAGTTCTTGAATTCTCAATCGAGTACTAAAAAACAAAATTTAATGGAAGAAATCAACTCACAAATTGAGAGGGGGTTTTCGTAGGTAATATCGTATAGCTCAATGATAAGAAACAAATAGGTTTTAGTTGAATAGGGGAACTATTTATTCTTCAAGTGCAGAAAGAAGTTAATGCACAAGTATGATGTTATAGTTTGATTATAAAAAAACATGAATTTTGGTTGAATGGGAGAACTGCATAATTTTTAAGTGCAAAAGAAAGGAGTTAATGCGAGAAGATGACAACATTGGTCTTAGGATAGTTAGACGACAGTAGATGAGACGAGGATGAATGATATCAGACGAGACAAATTCATTAACAGCTGAGAAAGTAAGTCCAAAAAGTCTAAAAGGTACTTAGAAAAAAGTGGGGCATTAAGGAGGGAACAATTGGAGATAGGGATGGGTACCCTGTGGGGGGTTAATGGGGTGGGGAGTAAAATGCTCCCCCCGTGACAAAACAGGGCGGGGGATGGGGAACTATGCCCTCGCCCCATCTCCCGTCCCATCCCCCGCTTAAATATATATATACATATATATCTTAATTATATACATAACATATTTAATATTATTAGTTATAATATCAAATTACGCATATGTAATATAATTAATATTGTTACTAATAATATATATTTATATTAATACAAATTATTGATTAGTTATACTAATATATTTATACTAAATTACTAATTACATTCTTTTACTAATTATACATTTATTCTATTATATACTTTTTACTAACTATACGTTTATACTAAATTACTAATTAAAAATTTTACTAATTATAAACTTTTTCCCCATAGGTACCCGTTGGGCGAAGTGGGGCAGGACGGGTGATGGGGGTAGGACGAGGGCGGGGGATAAAGCTGTTAAACGAACCGAGCTGTTCGTTAGCTTGGTTCGTTTCGGCTCGTTTGTGTTCGTTAAAGGCTCGTTCGAAAGCCTTAAACGAACGAACACGAACGAATTTTTGTGTTCGTTTAATAATCGAGCGAACACGAACATGTTCGCGAATTTTAACGAGCGTCGCGAACAAGGACATAATTGTCATTTGATAAATTTTAGGGTTACTCATAAGAAATTCTAAAACTTTCCCCTTCCCTTTCCAACCTTACTTTGTTTTCCTTCCCCATTGGCTGCTGCTGAAAATTTGTACTTGTCTTATGGCTGAATTTTTATATTTGAAGGACAAATTACTTTGTTTTATTTGTTGTTTTTATGTTAATGTTGGTTATGCAGTTATTGAATAATGGAATTTAGTCATTTAGTATTTTAATTATTTTTTAGGATGATTAATGATTTGTGTGGCATATTTAAGGCCTAGAATAATCTGGATTCGAACTTTTCGAGCGTGTTTGCGAACGGCTCGTTTATGTTAAACAAGCCGAACACGAACACAAACACGAACACGAACTTTACTTAACGAGCCGAACACGAACACAGATTTAGAGTTCGAAAGTTAACAAACGAACACGAACGGAGTTCAAATCGCTTAACGAACAGAGCTCAAACATGAGATACTCGGTTCGTTTCGGTTCGTTTACAGCTCTAGCGGGGGATATGCTTAGGCAACTGGGCGGGGGGCGGGGGTGGGGGAGAGGTCCCCCGCCCTAACCCTACCCCGTTGCCATCCCTAATTGGAGAGCATGCAGACTACAACTGCAAGGAATAGGAATGGAGTTGGGACTTGGGAGAGATTTTGGGATTTTTGTCTTGTCTGGTTATTATTCCTTTGGTATTTTGAGGGTACCCTCATCCACTATGGCAATTAATAGCCCTTATTAAGGAAGCTTGTAAGTAAAAAAAAAGGAAATTTAGTAGTTTGGTTAAAAATTATTGGATGGGAGCTGGCCTAGATTTTGACGATTTGATTTCTTGTAATTACTCCATTATAATTATTTTTTTCCTTTTATAGGGGAAAGTAATTAATCATCTTGTATATATCTATATGTGTGTGCATATATATAGTATGCTTTTCTTTTTGTTTTGACAAGCTTAGTTGAGAGAATAAATATAAGTTGATTGATACTTTAATTCTAGTATTTTACCAACTGTATTTCTCATCAAATTAAAATTTGTAGTGATCTCTTCCTCTACTACAAATTTTTTTTATCTTCTGTATTAGTTTCAAGTTAGTTTATTTATCATTAATAGTAGTAAGGCATTTTATTAATTAAAGTTGCAATCTATTCTAATACTTGATAAATGTACAACTGGTTAAAAAATTCAAAGAATTATAATAAACACTTGAATCAAAGGAAATCATATTCATACTTTTCGAAGAATTTATGATTGACAGATGATTCATGTTTTAAGTGTCATATTTTTAACCATTACGAAAAGAAGGTTGAAATGAGGGAGAGAGTGAGATTTTTGGTAAAATCTATGTATTGGATGATTGTTTTATGATTTAATCATCTTTTACAGTATCTTAGTATTCATTTTTATGAATATTCTGCATTAAACATAGAACAATTTATGAAAACTTTTTTAACAAAATAATATAATGCATCCTATTAAATATTTTTCATATGTGTTTTGTCAAATTTCAATACCTTATTATTGTGCTTTCTTATTTTGTGTTTTGTTAAACCATTCTAGGGTAAAAGTAAAAATCAAAGTTGCCTACTAGATTAGTAACTAAAATTTATTATGGGCTTCTTTAGTAAATAATATTACTTATTTTACAAGTCAAAATTGTTTAAATTTTGCATGTCAAAGGACTAATAATCAAGATATACATAAGGAGCCATGTATTGGACTAGCTTATAGTTGCAATCTCCTAAATTATACGTACGTACGTACATATATATATATATATTAAAAACATTACCTTTAGTTCCTAAAGTCCATTTATAGTTACTTTTTCACATAAACAAGTCATAATGACTCATTCTAAGTAATTCAATGGTAGAATTAAGTCCACAGATCTTCCTCAAGAATATAAAGAATCTAGCCCCTTTATAAAGTAGAGTAAATGAATCATGTAAACAAAAATTTTCTTGTTTGACTGAAAATGTTTAAATTTTGCATGTCAAAGGGCTAATAATCAAGATATACCTAAGGAGCCATGTATTGCACTAGCTTATAGTTAAAATCTCCTATATTATATCATTATACTATATAAGAATGAGTTGTGATAAAAAAGGGGTTTTGAATTTCAATCGCATGAATAGGGGCATTTTCGAAATATGGAATGATGTGAAATTTGTTTTTAGCTTTCGATACAAGTGATGATGACATGTATTTTGGTAAGTTTACAGAAATCTCCTCATGTCTATACAATTAAAGCATTTATTTATGGAGACATTTGGGTATTTTTGGAATGTGGGATTATTTTATAATCGTTGTTGCATCAGGTACAAGTCATACAAGCTTATGTATTGGTGTAATTACTTAAATGGTGTTATAGACATGTTTACTTGAAGTGTGGTATTATTCTGCAATTGAAACGAAAACACATTGTTGTAATCTTACCGCTTGAGGATATTCAATTGCCTAAAACATATTCAATTGTCTTTGCCATTTACATCTCAATTAAACTAAATAAAATGTGGATAGTTAATGAATTAATGCCTCAGCATCGGTTATGGTTGTTCAAATGCCTTCTCCTTCATATTTTTCGATTTTTTTCCTTTCGGCTTCTAGGATTGGGCTATTTTTGCTACCTTTATCCTCTGCATTCCAAAATGGTCTTTAGGGTAAGCTATTTTTGGTGGCTCGGTTTGATGTGAGTTTTGTTCCTTAATTTTATTATTTATGTGGTTGGTGGTGTGTAGTGTTGGGTGACTACTTCCATTGCAAAATTTGAAAATATGATTTTTCCACAAATTTGGTTAGTCTGTATAATTTAAATGGTGTGGTTATGATGTCATAGGGTTGGAGCAACTGCAAGAAAAAGTTTTTCGAGGGGTATCTGGACTAAGGTAAGCCAAAAAAGTACCTTAATTAGTTCAACCATGGTGTGTTTTCTACTGCATGTTGTAAGTGATTCATATATGGAATTCATTTTGATAGTAATTTGATAGTGAAGCATTGTGAATTGATAAGTTATATGGTATACTGCTGATTTGAGTTTGAATTGTTTAGTCACTGATGAATTAATAGAATAAACACCTTCTAAACCATTCATATTGGTGGTGTTTCACATATACCTTCTAATTAAGTAGAGGTAATACAAATGGTTTAATTTCCTTAGGCAGTGATGAATTTGTAGAAACTCCTTCAAGCAAACAATTTCAATGAGTGCTTTCTTATATTATAGAACAATGAATGCCTTCTTATACAGATAAAAAAAACTAAAATTGTTGCGAAAAACTAAAAATATGAACAAAAAAGATGCGAAACAAAACCTCACACTATACAAGAATGAGTGTGGCTTTGAATTTTAACCCCAAGAACAAACATATAGCTAATGAAATTAATTGTAATCCATGAAATGTAAATTGAATAATAATCTGACAAAAGGGAAACTTAAATGACTTTTTTTTTTATAGATGCTATAGTCCTTATTGATAAACAGTTGATTAACATTTTAACTCCAAGAATAGACATATAACTAATGAAATTACCTGTAATTTGTGAAATGTAAGTTGAATAATAATCTAAAGAAAGAGAGACTTAAATAACCTTTGCAGACCTTTGCAGACAATCTATTATTGAAACATATGCTACGAAATATTATCGTTTAGTATGATATTTCACTCTTATCTTTATTTACTTGCACTTCTACTAGCTTAAATTCTGTCGAAGCTCCACAAAATAGAACACAACCACCAACAAACAACTACCTTAAAATCATTTTTAACTACAGGCACCAAACACCTGCATGACGCGTGTGCACTCCCTCCCCAGTATATTAAAAACATTACCTTTAGTTACGAAAGTCCATTTATAGTTACTTTTTCACATAAACAGGTCATAATGAGTCATTCTAAGTAGTTCAACGATAAGACTTAAATCCATAGATCCTTCCTCAATAATATACAGCCCCCTTTATAAAGTAGAGTAAATGAATAATGTAAATAAAAATTTCCTTGTTTAACTAAAATTGTTTAAATTTTGCATGTCAAAGGACTAATAATCAATATATATATATATATATATATATATATATATATATATTTTACTCTCTCACCGTTTCCTACATCTTTTCCATCCCCAAACTATTAGGCACAATATTCAAACTCTGAACTTGACAGCGAGAAAAACTTTAAGAGTTCTTCCTTAGTCACTGGATCGATCTCAATACTCTCTAAATGATATATCATTATTTAGGTAAAGTATTTTTTACTATGCTTTTTCTATTTGACAAACACGTTTGACTCTACTTTGACGACTATACTTTGATATAATTATAATTTATAACGATACATTTATCAGTATAATGTTAGTATAATATTAATGTTAACTAATACATCCCATGTTACGTGAAGGCTTGATCAGTCCCACTTGGAAGCAATTCAACAGAAACGGATTAACCCTGTGGCATCTGTCATCTAACAAAAGAAAATAAAATAAAAAAAAAGAAGAAGAAGAAGAAGAAGAAGAAAGAAAGGAGTATCTTGTTAATTATGTGGCTTAAAAAGGAATGACATGTACCAGTTGAAGGACTTATTGGGCAATATTTCATTTTCAAACGACCTCCCCTCCCGCAAAAGGTCAAAGCCGTCAAACCATTTCCTTCCTTCCTGCATAACGCCTAAACCAGAATTTTACTGTAGCGGATATTTAAATAAAGAAAATAAAAATCGTAAAAAATGGGGGAAATTTTGTCTGTAAATCACGAGACCCAGCTCATCTCTTTCTCTCTCTGTCTATCAACATTTGTCTCTGAAATGATCGGAACAAAAAAATAATTTCAAATTCTAATCCCCTCGATCAGATCCAATACCCTGAAAAACCTGCATTTCTGCGATCTGATTGAAAACTTTAAATCCGTAAGCATTTTCTGAAATTTTTTTTCTTTGCCTCTTTTCATTTTTTTTTTGTATATATAGATAGGAAAATTTAGATTTTTGAGGTTTTAAATATCGGCATTGTCGAATTTTGGAGGAATTATCAGTTAAAAGAGGAAATCTGTCATCGTTTTTGAGTTAAGAGATGGCTTCGATGTCTTCCGTCAGCGAGGAGCTTACAGAGATCGAGGGACAAGTTTCTGATATTTTCCGCGCTCTATCGTAAGCATAATTTCCTTCTTTTTGAATTTTCTTTTACGAAAATATACCTGCGGCTTTTGCATTTGGAAGTTTATGGAAACCTGAGAATTATCAAGTCAATTACGCGCACATTTCTGCCTCAATGCATACATTCTTGTACTTGCATCTACTTTTTCGCCTAATCTACAAATTTGTCAATTTTGCTTGACTGGTAGTCTAATTGAGCTGGTTAGGGGAATGTTATTTCGTAGGAACAGGAAAGTTATGGGATTTTTTGAGAATTTTGTTAAGGAGGTTTTGATTGCCTGCAACTTTTAGTTTTCAGCTTTGTTTCGCAATTTCCAGATGGATTTAGGAAAAATGATGTTTGTATTGCAGAAATGGGTTTCAGAAATTGGAGAAGATTAAGGATACGAGTAGGCAAAGTAGACAGTTGGAGGAGCTCACCCAGAAGATGCGCGATTGCAAAAGGTAAATATTAGGTGCTTTAGTGTAAATTAGTGGTAATAGGTGTATAGTTTGTGTTTATATTGCTGCATGTACAGTCCAAACTAATTCTGATCGTGCTATTTATACTCTAGCTTAGTATATTATGAAGAAAGAAGAGTAAAGAATCTGGTTAATAGCAGCTTGCTTATGTGCTGGAAGAACAAGAAGAAACCTAAAGACTCGGAATAATTGTGCTTTGATCTCTTAAACAGAGAATGGTGGAGGAATAGTCTTTTCATTTTTAGAGGCGAATGAGAACATCTATCCTTCTGTTGGTAGTTTCTGGGGCTGGTCAAAGGTGGTTATGGATTACAGTGCCCCCCCCCCCCCTTTTTCACCCAAAAAAAAACCACGTCTGGTTCTTTAATTATTTTTCTACATTCGAATGCGGCATCCAGCTGACCCAGTTGTTTTTAAAAATCCTGCTTCACCATTGTACGCTAAGCCTGCTAGATTAGGTGGTCTTCACTTAATAGTTATTGATGTAAAATCATTCCATGTCTGGGTTGCTACTTTTTGCTTTAAGATCCTGCGACTGTACTCAGGTATGTTGTACTTTCTTAAACTTTATGATCTCTTAGCATGGTCCTCTTAAGTTGTTTCTGGCCTTATGAGCAATGGAAGATTAGCTGGAGATTGTTTTTCAATTTGAAGAAAAATCCGTTTCTCTTTCGGTTAAAATTACCCTTTTCAATGAATACTCCAGTAGAAGTATAGTGGTCTTCAGGGCTGGGAAATGGCAAGTATAGAACTTCTTTTCTTTGTTTGTTTATTATTTTTATTTTTTCTTGATCTAATGACATCTATCTCATAATTGCTCTTGATTACTATTTTTTCTCCCTATTTATAGGCTTATTAAAGAGTTTGATAGAGAATTGAAGGATCTGGAATTCAAAATTGATTCAGAGACCAGCAAGATTTTGAATGAAAAGAAGCAATCAATGGTGAGATTTTGTTCTTAGCTTTTCTATTCACAAAAACTGGTGCTGTGTAACTGTGCATCTGTTTCTTTTTTTGGACCATCCCTCTACCTTCCAATGCCTGCAGTCAACTGAACTAAAAGAGCATTCATAAAAGTTTGCAAGTGTACAAATGCTTTGACATATGAAAAGGTTTCTACATGGATTTCACCAATCCGCACCTGTTAGCACCATTTCCACTCCAATCTAATGAAGAATTGTTCTATAAATCATATGTCAAACTATTCAAGTCTTTCTTAGAAAATTGCAAGGATATTGACTTGTCAAAATATACTTCACTGCAAGGAAAACTATCATCTAAACCAGAATTCCATGCACTGCTGAGCTTTCTGTTGAACATCTTTGGATGAATTTGTCAATTTAAGAGGAAATGTAGAAACTAACTTAAAATTGCACATAAAAATCCTGATCTTTTTGAAATTTTTATGACATTAGCATTACTAGCAGTAGTATTAGTGAAAGCTTAAATTAGTACTGAACAGTTAGAATCTTAATAAAATTGACAATGTTTATTTCAAGACCAAAACCTATTGATACATTGCAATTATTTTAGTTTAATATCAAAATATTCTGTTTAACCGATTAACCATTGGTTCTATCAGTTGACTCTGTTTTTTAACCAATGAATCACTGATGTAGTAACTCCATTTAGCATGTGGACTACTCTAGGCTAGTAACCATGTTTTCTTTCTTTTTGTGCAGATAAAAGAATTAAACTCATATGTTGCGCTGAAAAAGCAGTAAGTTCCTTGTGCGGTTAGCATTCCAATTTTTGAAGCATCTTTCCAGTCTATCTTTAGATTTTGGATATTTGGTGAAATTTTATTCAATTTCATTCTTTTCCTCTTAACGGATTATGTTTTCTATACTTTTAGTTCCTTAAGATATTAATATGTATTATCTTTTGGTGAATAGAAAATTTTGTGGATTCTTATCCCCTTGGGATTTATAGCAGCTATGTACTTGTTGATTAAGTTCTTTGCGATTCATTTTGTCATCATTCATGACAAAACTTCTTTGCAACAAATGACTGAGTGGTTGTATCACAAACTTGAGTGAAATAATGAAGAAGATGAAAAGTTATTTATATTGGATATGCAATTCAGACTGGTCCTGGATGGCTGTGGCTGCCGTTTTAGGACCATTCATTTGATTCTTCTGAACAGTAAGTTTCTGGCTTTCAGTGTTGGGTAGTGTGGTTTTAACCAGTTTATGTTTCCCATTGAAGGAACTGATGACAAAAGACTAACTTCTTGGGGAATATATTAATGTATTTTTGTAATTCTTTTTAGTTTGTATCAAATTAAACCGCAAATCTAGGACAACACTTAGATTTGTCATTTTCTTGCCTAAAGAATTTTTGGCAATCTGTGGATTTTTTACCCTCTTTCATCTCCAAGTAGTATAAATTTTGGTTATTAGTATTTTTGGAAGATTACCCATTTTGCTATATTGTTTGAACTGTAGTTCAATCTTTGTGTCATCTGTCAGATTATCTTCATATCCTCTTTGTATGTATTCCATTCTTTGCTCATTTAAGTTCTACTTTCATGTTAGCAGTATGAATTTGCAATTAATTGTTGCTTCCCTTTCTGGGTTTAACCGTTAAGAGTTATATTGGTTGATGGACTAGATATGCAAGCAATCTTGAGAACAAGAGGGTGGAGCTTTTTGAGGGGCCAGGTGAAGGATTTGCCGAAGACAATGTATTGCTAGCTTCTTGTAAGCAATATTGCTCTTACTGTATGCTTTTCCCTTTCCCCAGTTTGACCTGCTTCTGCCTATAAATGTGCTCCACTGTCCATGTCTTCCTTCTTTTTCCCTCTATAGTGGATAAAAAAATTTCACCTTCAATTTCCTGCAGCTATTACTTTGTTCCTATCAGTCTATTAAGGTGATATGTGTACTGGATGGCTCTTTTCTTTGGTTGTTAGCTAATTTAAGCTCTCTTTTACCAAACTACCTTAATAACAACTGGATATTTACATTCCATTGAAACATCTAGAACCAATCCCACCCAAGTAACAAAGTGGATGGTTTTAAATTTCTCAAAATTATTTCCACTCTGAGTAGTATTTTGGCTGTAACTGACTTCAAGGAGTTATGTAAAACTATTTTTCTTCTTGGTTCCTTCTTTTGGGGGTTGGGGTTGGGGGCGTGGGGGTAATGGAAGGATATTAGTCCGTATAGTCGCGTCACACAACCATTATTTTAAAACAAAAGGTAACTTGCTTTTACATTCAGAAGCAAAATTTCTTTCCATAATTTAAGATAGACGAACCAAATTGTGTACAACAAGTGATTTATGGTTAAAAAAAGGAAAATAAAACCCAATTTGCAACACAATTTAACACCAGTGGAGCGATAGTCTCTCTATGGTTTTCGAGTTCTATCTGTCATGCACCTTTTAGCAGCAAATTTGTTGGCATTTTTTCTGTTGCTATTGTATATGAAGATTTCTGATAGAAAATGTGAAAGTGCAGCCATGTCGAATCAACAATTAATGGATCATGGAAACAAGATGATGGATGAAACAGATCAAGTTATCGAGAGATCAAAAAAGGTTAGTGCAGTTCCAGGAAGACCAACAACTTTAATGTTCCTAAAAGAGACTCTTTATTTCTTTACTATGATGTCCACCAGAATTCTATAAACAGTGCTATGTTGAGGTCTAATTAGAAAAGAGAATTTACCCAACCTGTGGTATTACAACATTTAGCTGCACTTGTTCTTGCTGACCTATGGTCTCCATTATTTATTGGATACCCTTTTCCCCTTCTATTCATTAGTCTTCCTGTATTCTTTTCTTTCTGTACTTCTGTACTAATGTTAAATGTCACAATTAAACATGAAGAAGCAAAACTATTTGTCTATACAAAGTGCTGCTTCTAAAATCTAAAATAAAAAAATAGGGGAATATCTCTTGGGAAGTGTGTTTTTTCAGAAGCATGGAAAACTTCATGTGTATTAAAAGTGCAGGGCCAAACAATAAGTTGCCACATTCAAACGAATGATTGATCTGGATTGGGAAACAGATGATATAACCTATGTATATCCCTTGCTCAATGGAACCACACTCTTGCCTGCTGCAGCTAGACAAGCGGGCTTTCTATAAATCAGTTTCTTTGGTGTTTTCACTTGAAGATCAGTCACAATAATAAAAGATAACTCCAGTTGTTCTGCTAATATTTTGGAAGTATACTTTAAAAATTTAAAGCCTTTTGTTTGTCTGGTTTGCTTGTGATAGGTTGTCCATGAGACCATTAATGTTGGGACAGAGACTGCAGCTGCTTTAAAGGCACAGGTGTGTAATTTGTAGTTGCTGCTCAAACACACCGAGAAAAAAGTAGAAAAAGGAAACAGACATCCAGTTTTCTACCATTCTGTGTTATGATTTAAGCGTGTCTTATATTGTTCTTCTTTTTATCCTTTTTCTCCTTTATTGTGGTGGTTTGAATGGCTGGGCATTGGTCATCCAGACTGAACAAATGAGTAGGATCGTTAATGAGTTGGATTCCATTCATTTCTCTATAAAGAAGGCTTCGCAGTTGGTCAAGGAAATTGGTAGGCAGGTCAATCTCTGAAATTTGGTATTCATCTCTCTGTCTGTTTTATGCCCCATATTATTCCATTTACTCACTTTGATTCCTTAACTAGGTTGCAACTGATCGATGCATTATGGGCTTGCTCTTCCTCATCGTGGTTGGTGTGATAGCCATCATAATTGTGAAGGTTGGTTATCTGCTTACTTCTCTTCTCTCTAAGTTGCCATGTGGAACTCTTCAATGACCAAAAAGTTTCCCATACGTGTTGCAATGTTCAATTATATTTCTGGGGTTGATTGATTCTTCCTGATTGATGGATAGCATGATAGTAAACCTTTCCCAGCTGTCATGAAATTTGCCATCAATTCCCAAAGGTGTGCTGTCTGATTTATTAGGCAATAAAGTCTATTGCACAGGAACTTCATGTTCATCATACTTTATTCTTGCCTTTATATTTTGCCAGGGCAGCCAAATAGCCCCAGAATAAGAAATAATAAAACAAGAAAATTGTGTCCATAAGTTGTTCCTTTCCAAAAAAACAAAGGGTTAAAGCTATCGAGCAAGCTTATATACAAAACTGTTGCTGTTGTAGTGAATCTTTGCAGAGATTACTTTCCTTTTTTGCGGGCCCTTGGGTGTCTACGATTTGTGGAGCAGATGGCTGGGATTTGAAGTTGTTAGGATAGAAAAGTTAATGAAGCAGCATACAAAACATAGGAGTAAATTAACATAAATTAAGTTCTTGTTCATTTGACTCTATGTTTTAGGTAATTTACACCTGTATTTCTCTTCTGCTTCATTTACTATTATGATTATTAGTTGTTTTAAAAGAGGTAATTGGCTTTATACCGCTGAGTTTTTTCACACTTTTGAATTTCCAGATTGTGAATCCACACAACAAAGACATTCGGGATATTCCTGGATTGGCACCTCCAGCCCCAAGCAGAAAATTACTTTGGAACCCTAATTGAAGACCTCTCCCTTCTCTGCAAATAGCTGCAGCAGGTTATTTGCATTTTGTGTGCAATGATGGATGGTTCTTTCTTGTGACATTGTTGGAGGAACCTGATGTGCGCATTGGGTATATCATTGCCGTCGGGTGCCAAAGATGTGCCGAAACCATCTTTGCCAGCCAGATTTCATCAGTAACAATCCCTCAAACATTCTTGTGTCTAGCTGACTAGGTCTAATGGGAAATTCTTTGTATTTTCGTTTCATTTTTCTTACTTTATAAAAACATTCCCATTCGAGTGAGAGAAATAGAAATACACACGGCTTCCTTTGTAATATTTTATACTTCAAGGTTGTATTACTACTAAGTATATTTGGCTACGCACTGTCAGTTTACCTCGAAACATTTTTTTGTATACCATCCCCTAGAATATGTCATTATACCACCTCTAGGAGTGTAGAAATTCTGGCTCATTTTTGGCTGTTAATTTGCTGCCAAAACTTAACATCGATAAAATAAGGGAAATAGAGTAGAATGAGATTGGTACCATAACGGTTTTCTTTTTTTTGGGTCAAATTTTGATTGTCCTTCCACTAGAGACATGAAACGCTATTATGGTGTAAATAATGTACTTCCTAGAGGATGCAGATTTACCACACAGCTCATAAGCAATTCCTTCTCACTTCATGGTCAATTTCTTGGCCAGCTTTGACGTGATTTGTCGAAGATTGTTTGTACTTTGTAGTGGTCTTTGACCCTTTGAGTACTCCGTTGACAAACCACTGAGGGACTTAAATCCTTTTTTGGATTATAGGTGGGGGGAGGGGTCAAATTCTACCTAACAAAATTTAAGGATGGTGCCAAAACATCTTTTTAGTTTAGTCAGGTCTGTATGAGGCTCTTCCTGTAAATTAGGATAGAACAGGTTATCCACTTGTTATTGTTGGGGGGGGGGGGGGGGAGGGGAAAGAGTACTCCGTTGACAACCTCACCTTGGTTGAATTGCAAAATTTTATGGTAATAATTTCTTTTGGTGGGCAGCTACAATCGTAGCAATACCTCACAAAGATTTCAACACTTTCGAACTTTTTGTTTCTTAGGGACACTTCTTCCCCACACTTATCTAGTTTGTCAAAGCCCATCACTTCTGTAATGGTTTCAGAGCTCAAGAAGTCAACATGTCCAATTTCCTCTAAGGCTTCTATGTCAAATTCATAGTAAATCAATCAAAGAAATTCTGGGAGTTCGCCATTAAATTAAATTCTATCTGCAAACAAGTTTTGTATTAGAGTCGAGACTTGAGAGTGGTTTGGTTAAGATTCTTACCAACTACAAATAATCACCTGACTTGTTTCTTCACATTCTACTTTAGTGACATTATCGAATATTAAACCTGTCCATTATGCTACATTATGCTCATCATGTTTTTTTTCAGAACTTTATTGTCGTCAGTTATACAAGCTGTGTGAATTTGTTCTGGTAAAGGAAATAATAAAAAAGCTCCATAATAAAACTGTACCGTTTGATTTACATTTTCTTGTATATTTTTTTCAATGTAAGTGAAAGGTTTCAAATCCGAAACCTATTACTTACGCTCCTCCCTCTTCGTCAGTACCGTTCAATTCATCCCTTCCCTTACTGTAAGTTATTCCCTTACTGTAAGTTATTGATATTCATTGCTTCTACCTAAGTCAGATAAACTTCACCACATGATTTGCTTTTGATTTACAAAATCTTGACTTGTGCTTCGTAAACAAAACCAATAAGTTTATATTTTAATAGTATATGTTTCTAATTCGTTGCTTCTGCACTAGCAGTTAATGACATTTAGATGTTTATGGATTTATATATAATTCTTTAATACAAGTGTTGAAATAAATAGTTACCGCCAAGCATAAGGGAACGAGTGGAATCTTAGACTGTCCTTGTGAGGATATTCTTTATTATATTTCTCAATTACTTTTTCACTTTTCACGTACCACATCTTAAAAAAGTGTTTTTTGATTAACGAGCCTGTGTTGCTCTCGTGGGGTTGCCATCCCAAATTAGTTCTTGGAGGGTTGGGTTTGGATTTATAAGTCCCTGGAAGAACCTCAAAAATTGTCGGTTTTTGAGGTTTCTTCTGAAATCTAGGTTTATAAAAGCCGAATTTCTAACTTTTGTTACGAAAGGTCAAGAGGCAAATTCCTGCAGCGGTAGTTATACTGAATTTCGTGGGGAGTCTTTATTTCTTAGCAATAGCGGGCCTACTGACTTGCCCTTGTGGGATTACCATCCCACATCGGTTCTGGGGAGGGTTGGGTTTGGATTTATAAGTTCCTGGGAGGACCTCAAAAATTGCCGACTTTTGAGATTTTTTCTGGAATCTAGATTTATAAAAGTCGAATTTCTAACTTCTGTTAGAAAAGATCAAGAGAGTAACGAGCGTGTGGCTTTCCTTAACACCTAAAAAAAAGATTGGCAGAGTCAGTAAGCAAAAGCTTGAAAGTTCTTGATATGGGTTGAAATTTGAAGAGTCAATTGCCTTCTTTTTACCAACCCCCATTTAAAGGACGAGGACTTCCAGTGTCAACAATAACCCTCTATTATAGTTTCCTCCAATTACAGCCCACCAGAACCTCATTAATCACGGTTGAACAATTTAAGTCACTAACCTTTATTTCCACGACCCCATTTTTTTTTCCCAGACTTTTGAAATTAGTTAGTTAAATCTAATTCCAAATTTAACTTCAAAAATCGACAACTCTTGAGGTAAACTTGAGGACTTAACTACCCAACCCCAAAGAAACGATGTGGGACTACGGGAAATTTAGTAGGGAAGCCTCTACTAGGCCTTAAAGAAGAACCCACTTACCCCATATACCTCCCCTGCGTTTTTGTCTTTTTTTTCCAGACTTTTGAAATTAGTTAGTTAAACCTAATCCCAAATTTAACCCCAAAAGCCGGCACAACCCCATTTGATTTGAAGAAATTTGGCATTTGCTATCAGCTAAGGTTACTAATTCCACGAGTTAGGAAGCCAAGTTTTTTGCCAAGTTTGTCTGCTACAAGTTTTTTAAAAAACTTTAGCTACAGTAACATCAAAAAATTTCTTAAAGTTTTTAAACTATACATTTCAAAATATTCAAAAATCTACACATTTCAAAAAATTTTTAAAAAACTTCTTCAGTAAGTTACAGTAAAATTTTAGATAAATTTCCAAAAACTCACCTTCCAAACAGGGTATATTATTTGATGATGCAATTCCTGTCATTAGTACAGATTTTAATAATATTATGATATTTTATTAACAAAAAAAAGAGTTCCCACCACAACATTATATTATATACCCCAATGGGGACACCTAACACAACAAACTAAGATAGTAAAGCAAAACAAAAAGAAAATTCGAGGTACATATTTATCATATTTTTCCCTTTCAATTTATTACACATGCTTTTGGTAAATTTTCACTATATATATATATATATATATATATATATATATATATATATATATATATATATATATATATATATATATATATATATTGTAAAGAGAAACTAATGAATTCAACGAACTGCTTTTGTCCCTCCCACAAAGTCAAACTTTATTTGGATTGTAATTTTCTAAAAAAAAAAATTATATTTTTCATGAATACACTTCCTAATCATAATTAAATTTCCAAAAAAAAAGTAATCTAAATGGGTTGAAGCAAAGCAGAACATAATATGTTACTAGCAGAATTCGAAGATTTTAGCAATTGTCTCTAAAATCCCATTACTATGGATGATTGCTCATATAGAAAAAACTTGTCGAGGGCTTTAAGAAAGAAAAAACTTGTTGGGTTGTCACTCTAAGTCTGCTCTACCCTTTGAGCAAAAACATATGATAGAAGCCTAACTGTGCAACAATTTATATGACTTCTAATACGCATATTTCTCTGCTATTAAAAAAAAAAAATTAGTAGATGCTTAGCCATTCATTCCAAACTTACCCTCTATAACAATTTTAGTTATACTTATTTGAGATGAATAATACTCCCTCCGTCCCACTTTGTTAGTCTTGTTTTCCTTTTTCGTCCGTCCCAAATTGTAGTCCACTTTCCCATTAAGAAATGTAGTAATCTTTCAAATTGTCTAAAATACCCTTATTAAATATTTTGTTATTAATACATTGTTATTAAATACTAACCCACTACATTGAATACATTGAACTTTTCCAATACATTGAATACATTGACTGCATTGATTAGCATAAGGGTATTTTAGGAAATTATTAATCTAAATTTATGTTTCCAACCAAATTAATTACACTTTCTTAATCTGTGTGAAAAAAAAATCAAGACTAACAAAACGGGACGGAGGGAGTATAGATTTACCCCTTGTAAAAAAAATAACAATATCGAAGCTGTTTAACAAATATATGTACATCTCAAAAATGGAAGAAGAAAACGAAGGCCATGATGATTATTAACCAAAGATTTCATTGAGTGCAGTGTACGAGTGTGTGAGTGTGTGTGTGTGTAGGGGCCATAGCTGATAGCACCAGTGTGTATTAGAATATCTGCCAGGCAATTTCCACGTCCAACCGTCCAAGTAAACCGTCATCTTGGAGACTTCATCCGTCAAGCCAGTAGTGTTAATTTGTTAAATGCGTAGATTAATTTTAAATTGACTTTGACGGGAGAGTCTTCTTCAAAAGTCAATCGAGGTCCTTTTATTCTGCTCAAAATTAATTTCTTGTGTAATGCTTATCAAACTAGCCTTTGGTCCGGTGGTTATCCCAAATCTTTTAGGATTTGATGATGCAAAGAGATTATGGGTTCGAACCTTGCCTCCTTAAAAAATTTGTCACAGTATGTGAATGTCTTCTTTGATCTTCTTCGATGGAGTTTCTACTCACATCGAGTCCCTCCCCCCTCCCCCTAGAATAGGTTAATTTAGGTTATAGGAATCCTATCATTTCGATAAAAAAAAAAAAAAAAAATTGTAATGCTTATCAAACTAGCTACATTCATTCTCAAGAAACAAAGAGGGGAAAAAAAAAAGGCAAGAAAAGAATGAATGATCATTAATGCACAGGTGCATTACAATGAGAACAAACAAATTATACTCCCTCCGTCCCACTTTGATAGTTCTGATTCTTTTTTCACACAGTTTAATAAAAAATAATTAATTTTATTGAAACAATCAATTTAGGTAACTATTTTCCTAAAATACCCTTACATTAATTCGAGTACAGCTTTATGGGAACTTGAATTGATGGTAAAAAAAGAATCAACTCTCATTAAATATGGTAGATTTATAGTAACAACAACTTACATTGAATAAGGGGTATTTTAGAAAAATTAAAATATAACTACATTTTTCAATTGAAAAGTGAACTACAATTTGTGACAGACGAAAAAGGAAAACAAGACTATCAAAGTGGGACGGAGGGAGCAGTTAGTAAATGGGCATTTTT